ATGGAGTGTAGGCAAGGTTCAAAGATTTGTTGTACATTGCTTTACCAAAGACTGGTGCCCTTTCGAAGTTTCGTTTTCGGCTTCCTCCAGCTCCTCCTGCAGATCGCTTTTCCATTCTTTTTCATCTTGTTCGCAATCAGCTTTTTCCCTAAAAATTTAGTTTTGGCAACAACTCGCAGGTAATAGAAAACTGCACCAGAACTCACTCCTCCAAATTTAACTTAAGACAGGTATTAATATATCCCTGTTTCTGTCTCAAACGTTTCAAACACTTCCATGTCATTAAGGTTTTCTGCAGCAACTGACGTTCCTCCGCTTCTTCAGAGTTCCTCAATTTCCTCATTTCCCTGAATATTGCCTGACATCAATCAAACGTTACTATGTAAATAGGTTTTACCTGCAATCTTGATACAGTTTGTCTAATTTTGCTTTATCAGTTTCTGTCAACGCGGCTTCTGATGTATTCTGCAACGTAGCCTTTGCAGTTTCCAGTTCGCTTCTTAAACGGCAAAGCTGAAAGATAAAGCAATGCTGAAGTCCGTGTAGAAGTTTAAATTTTTCTCTATGACACGCAGCCGTTATCACATCCGGTAAATTTCTAGAAGATCGACGTCTAATGTAAATCAGCATTCTGTTATCATCATATATGACTATTTAAGGCTTCAACTTGCTGATAAGATTTGTGATCTCTGCTTATCATAGTGCTGCGCCTCTGAGATTAAGAGTTATTTACTGAATAACAATGAAACATGTCTAATGAACATGGATCCCCTCAGTTTTTTCCAGCAATGTGACGTTTTTGCCACTGATATCAAATCATGTGTGTCTGAGCAGTTGATTAGATTGTTATCATTGTTTTCGTTGGTTTACCTTCGTCTGAGCTTAACAAAGCACAAACAGTTGTTTCATGATGCCTCGCCGTTATCAGTGGAATTAATGATTGCGGTTCCAGTTACGTGGCCCAGTTTGCCATCACCGTTCCACCTCCGGCTTCTTGAAGAAGTTGAGCTACTGCGGGTCAGATTTCTTGGCCGAGGCGGTTTGAGCCATGCGGCTGATGAGGTAATGAGGCTTAATTTCCTTCCTGCAGATGATTAAACCATGCTGATCTT